GCATAGTTAAATTTTTCTTTATAACTGAATATTTACTCTTTTAAGTATCAAAAAATATTGGGCATGGTGGCACATGCCTGCAATCCCAGCACTCGGAGGATGAGGGAACAGGATCACTGTGAGTTGGAGACCAGCCTGGGCTACATAGTGAGCTCATGGCCAGCCTGAACTACGTAGCGAGACCTTGTCTAACAACAAAAAATAAACAAACAAAAAACTATGGTATGTGAAAAATTTTTTTTAATAGACTTTATGTTTCAGAACATTTTTAGGTTCACAGGAAAATTGAACAGAAGGTACAGAGATGTCCCATATGTCTCCTCATCAAATGTACAGCCTCCCTGTGATCAACACCCTCCCAGAGTGGTACATTTGTTGCTGTTGCCATCCAAGGTCCATCATGTACAGTCTTCTGAACTTAGGGTTCACTCTTGGTAGTATACATTCTGTGAGCTTAGGCAAATTTATAATGACATGTGCCCACCATTGTAGAATACACAAAGGTTGTATTGCCTTGTCCTTTCTGCACACCACCTAGTCATCCCTCTCCAACACACCAGCCCCAGCAACCCCTAATATTTTTCCTCTTTCCATAGTTCTGCCTTTTCCAGAATGGCATATAGTTGGAATCATAAAGTATGTCACATCATCCTAGTTCCTTGATAATCTGTGTTTAAAATATGTTTTCCCCAGTACAGATAGGAACTAAATATAATTTAACCTCCATGTGGCAATTGTCATTATAACCATCAATTGAAGTTCTGTGTTGAAATGAAAATTATGTAGGCTATCGTGTAGACATGTGTTGTCCAATCCAGGACCTCTAGCCACATGTGACTATTTTAACTTAAATGTGTAAATTAATTAAAATTAAATTTCAGTTCTTCAGTCACACCAGCCACAGTTCCAGTTTCTGTAGTCACATGTGACTAGTGGCTACCTTATTGACATCACATATGCTGAACATTTTCATCATGACAATTTTTTTTTTCTTTTTGTCTTTTTGAGTCAGGTTCTTGCTATGCAGTTCAGGCTGGCCTTGAGCTCACTTTGTAGCCCAGGCTGGTCTCGAACTCACAATGATCCTCCTGCCTCAGCCTCCCGAGTGTTGGGAGTACAGATGTGTGCCACCACGCCCAGCCACAAGAAATCTTTACAGATGACTATCTACTGTAACCAGGATCTCACTCCTTTTCTGTATTTCCATTCAGCCCCACCTCAGCCAGGGCAAATATGGGAAGCATTCACTTAGTGTGGCCTATTCTTGTACTTTAATAAATGGAACTATGTGATATATACATTTCATTTAATCTGGCTTTTTTTGCTCAAATAATTGCCTGTGAGATTGTAGACCTTTTATCAATGCATTTAACACCATTGAGATACTGTGCCAAAATTTATTCATCTTTGAATCTTCTATTGATAGACATTTGTGTAGTTTTCAGTTTGGGGCTAGTACAAATAGCACTGCTATATTTTGGAGAATGTGTATACACATTTCTGTAGTGGTGTGTAATTAGGAATAGAATGTTGGATCAAAAAGTATTTTCAGTGTTTTTTTTTTTGGTTTTTCTCCGGTACCGGGAACTGAACTCACGACCTTGCGCTTGCCAGGCAGGCGCTTTGCCACTGAGCTAAATCCCCAGCCCAGTATTTTCAGTGTTAATAAATATTGTTAGTTTACTAATTTATATTCCCACACCAGCAGTGTTAATGTTCCACATCCTCACTAGCCCTTTATATTTTCCATTTTCCTCATTTTATTTATTTATTTATTTATTTATTTATTTATTTTTTTGTTTTTTGCCGTACTGGGAACAGAACCCTGGGTCTTGGACCTGCTAGACAGGCTGGCTCTACCACTGAGGTGCATCCCCGCCTATGTCTCCCTGCCCCTTCTTTTCTTTTTGAAACAATCTTGCTAAATTGGCCATGACCTTGAGATGCTCCTGTCCTAGTCTCCTGAAAAGCTGAAATTAAATATGTGTGCCACCAGGCCCAATGTATCTTTCTCATTTTGGATATTCTGATGGCTGTGTAGTGTTATTACGCTGTGGTTTTAGTTTACATTTCCTTGATGCCCCTTACAGTTAAGCATATTTTTATATTTATTGATCATTTGATATCCTCAAGTTCAGTATCTGCTAAAATCTTGGCCCCATTGTATCTCTTTTTTTAACAGTTTTATTGTGATATACTTTGCATACCATAAAATTCAGTCTTTTAAAGTATACAGTTTGGTGTGTTTTTAGTATATTAACAAAGCTGTACAACTATCACTACCATCTAATTCCAGTGCTTTTTTTATTACTCCAGAAAGAAACCATCTCAGTAGAAGAGACTCCCCTTCATCTACCCATAATCCCTATGGATATGTCTATTCCGGACGTTTCCTGTAAATAGAATCATACAATACTTATGTGGTCTTTTGTGACTGGCTTCTTTCACTTAGCATGTTTTGAAGGTTCATTTGTGTCACAGTACATCAGTAAAGTACTTTATTCCCTTTTATGGCTGTAACACATTTTGTGTATGCATTCATTAGTTGAGAGATAATTGGGTTCTTTCTACTTTTTAATTATTAGGAACAATGCTGTTCTGAAATTTGTATGCAAGTTTCTGGGTGGAATGTATTTTTATTTCTCTTGGTTCTATGTTAAGAATGGAATTGCTGAGTCATATGTTAACTTCATGTTTAACATTTTGATGATCTGCCAAGCTATTCTCCACAGCAGCTGCTGCAGTTCACATTCCCACCAGCAGTGCATGAAGGTTCCAGTTTCTCTGCAATCTTACCTGACACTTGTTATTGTTTTTTTTATTTTTGACATTTTAGTGGATAAATAGTGTCTTATTGTGGTTTTATTATTTATTTATTTTGGTACTGGGGGCCTTGAAGCTGAGCCATAACCTCACCCCTTTTTCATTTTTTATGTTGAGGCAGGGCTCAAACTGGCCATTTTCCTGTCTCAGCTTCCTAGAATGTTGGGTTTATAGGGATGCAGAACCATGCCCAGCTTGTTTATGATTCTTAGTTTGCAGTAATTCAAGATTTGCTCTGAATACAGATACTTCGTTGGATATGTATCTTTTACTTTCTAATTGCTCAACTCCTTTCGATGATCAAAAATTCTTTGTTTTAATATAGTACAGTTTATCAACTTTTACATGTATATTTCTTATTTTTAAAAAATAAGAGGTGCTGAGCATGGGTAGCACATGCCTGCAGTACCAGCACGTGGGAGGCTGAGACAGGAGTATTACCACAAGTTCAAGGCCAGCTTGAACAACGTATATACTGAGTTCAAGGCCAACCTGAACTACATAGTGAGACCCTGTCTCAAAAAACAAAACCAAAGAGTAAGAGGTAGTTAAAAACAGTCAAAAAAATAGCCTAGTATCCAGATATTGGTTGGTTAAAAATATATATTCTTGGGTGTTGGTTGCAGAGGTAGGAAAACAAGTTTAAAGATTTGTAGGGCTCCTACAAAAGACTATGGGATTAGCTAAGTCTTTCATGAACTTTAACTGATTGAAACTTTACAGTATTATCTCTTACTTGTAAATGATGAAACCAAGACCCAGACAGGTAAACTTTCCCAGGCCTACACAGCTAATAAGTGGGCAAAAACCATGGTTTAAAACCAAATCGGTCTACTCCAAAACTATTATTTTTTCACTCTATGTTTTTATTATAGTATCATAATTAAAGATTTCTAAATTTCAAGTTTAACCTGTTTAAGTTGCTATGCTTCTTGGCACAGTAATACATGTTAAATGCCTATGGAGCCAAGTATATACTGACATTAAGAAGTTTAAAGGATACAGAGGGTAGATTAGCCATCTAGAGCTCTTACAGGAGACAGAAAGTATTAAAGTAGTAATCTGATGCCAGGGGGATTGGGTACCTAAGAGGCTTTTGTCATCGGATAAGATTGCAAGAGAAACTTACCTGTGTCAATGGTGTGTTTTGTGCTTTATTTTCCATGCTGTGAAATACAGGAAATTTCCTGTAACTGTACTAAGGCCAAAGAGAACATTTTCTAGGGCTCCCTCTGCTGGTTTCCAAGAGGTAATTAAGATACCTATTTTTCATAAATGTGCTTGTTAATAATAATATAAATGAATTTGAGAAAGAAATTAATTTCAAGGTCCATTAAAAACAGAATAGAAATTGAGGTTGGTGGAAATTAAATGGAAAAGCAATTGGAGAAAGGATGATTTAAGTTTACTTATTTTAGAATTCAAATTTAACTATTGAAACTTTTTGAATTATAGGAATAACACTTCTGATGGTTCAAACAAATAGCTTAAACTTTATACCCGGGAAAGTGCATGATAAGAATCAGTACATAGGGTTAGTGTTCTAAGTTGGTGATGACATTACAGAAGTGCTATCTCATCCCTTTTTTAACTAAAAAGTGAACTTTTACCAGTGTCAGTGAAGTCCACAGTTGATCAATAAACTGGTTAGGTTGTAAATAAAGTGCTATCAATGGTTATTTGGAAATATTCAGGTTTAATCAGATGATTAGGTGTGGAGCCTACTAAAGGAGAAACTGCTGTCTGGGGACACCTGGGGATCTGTGCCATTTCTGCCCTTTCACACCTGAAGTCTTTCACATCTAACTGATAGCCACATAATGTCCAGGCCTTGTACACCTAGTGGTGTGCCTCAGCCTCCCAAGTGCCAGGATTACAAGCCTGTGCCACCACGCCCGGCTCTATTTTGAAATTTAGCTTATAATTTTTGCTTTTCACTCTAGCAGTGTTTACTCTTTTTTTTAAATTTTAAAGAGAGAGGAAAAAAAAAAAACAACTACAAAGATAACGCAAAAACAATAAAAATGATACAGAATTTCAAAACAAGATAATAGGAAATTAATAATGCTTGTTATATTACATATTATTATCTCCCACGAAATTGCTCAGATTAGCAGATGCAGTGTTTACTTTTAACTTACTTGGCATTTTTCATTTTTGGTATTTTGTTTCTACAGGTACAAGAAAATTCCCCAGGACACAGAGCTGGATTGGAGCCTTTCTTTGACTTTATTGTTTCTATCAATGGTTCACGATTAGTAAGTCCACTTTTTTTGTAATTTTGTTTGTAGTACTTCCTAACCTTTTATCAGTGGGCCTTTATGTATTATCTCGGATGGGTTTTTATTAATGAGATATAAATATATAGCATATGATGCTAGCTTTTAGAAATACTGTAATAATGTATTAGTAAACATTAAAATTTCAAATCTATAATACTGTAGTGCATTCCATAGTTCAGTGATTATCTTAGAAGAGAATCCCTGGAGACTTTCACTTTATATGTTAAGTACTCACTTTTCATAAGCAGAAGAAATAATTAGGATGAGAAAGATCATTTTTTAAAAATGTCAGACTTTTGCAGCTTGTTGACAGATGGATTAATAAAGTGTCATTTACTTGTCAGTTTTCTTAGAGCTATGTTTCATGACAAATGATTTTGTCAGAACCAGACAGAGATTTTATCTAAAAGTGCAGAATTAAAGCCACTTTTTATAAATATTTTTCAGTTACCCATAATAAAGTCCTATAGGCAAGAAATTATATAATCTTGACAAAGGAAATTCCTGTGACACTAATTACTAAGTTAACTTATTTTTATATAACAATTTTAAGTTATTTTCATTACTTACCAATATCTCTGATATAATGTCTTTTATTCATTTATGTAATGAAATATTTAATATTATGTACCCATTTTCTTTTCTTTCTAGTTCTTAATAAATAACAAAGTATGTGTTTAGAAGTAGAGTCCGAAATTTAAATCTTTCAGATTTAAAAATCAGAGTTAATCCAACTTTGGTAATAATATGACTTCTTATGGAATATTATGTGTTCCATTACCAAACCCCTTGATCGCCTTAAATAATGTTGGGTTGCAAAATCCATAGTTAGCGTCTAGAAGAAAAGTCAATTTGAGTTGTTGTGCATATAAAAGTTGGGGTGTGTGTGTGTGTGTGTGTGTGTGTGTGTGGTACTAGGAATCAAACCCTAACCCTTTTTTATTTTTGTGACTATGTCTCCCTAAATTGCTCAGGCTGGGCTCAAACTTGGGACCCTCCTGCCTCATTTTCCCGGAGTGCTAGGATAACAGAAGTGTGCCACTATACCCACTTTTGAATTTCTTTTATGTTGATTATTAATATTGCTCTTTTAGGGATATTACTCTTTTAGATTAATATTACTCTTTTAGCATAGAATGCTTAAGCTAAAAATATAGTTAATATTGTTTTTATTTATTAGGGAATATAATTTCTATATGTCCACAGAATAAAGACAATGACACTCTTAAGGATCTACTGAAAGCAAATGTTGAAAAACCTGTAAAAATGCTCATCTATAGCAGCAAAACCTTGGAGTTGCGAGAGACATCAGTCACACCAAGCAACATGTGGGGTGGCCAGGGCTTACTGGGTGTGAGCATTCGTTTCTGCAGCTTTGACGGGGCAAATGAAAACGTTTGGCATGTGTTGGTAGGTATTGACCAGGAACGGTTGCTTGCATAGTAAGAAGCAGTGTAGGAAGAGGTGGTAACAATGGTCATCTATGGGTTGAGGAAATTGTAAGATTATTGTTAGGTTGGTTATTGTTGGATTGGAGATGATTATGTAGTTTCTAAAAATCGGCATTCACTGCTTTTCAAATATGGATTAACTTTTTTGAAAACTTTAATAAGAGAAGCAGATATAGAAGTTAAGAATTATTTTTCTAATGCCCTGTCCATTAAAAAAAAAATTAAGGCAAATAACTACAGAAATATTTTAAGTATTATATATTATATGGTTTTATACTTGAAAGTTTTAAATATATATATTCTCTAGTTTCTTACATCTGACGTTATCCCTTTCAACAGAAATTTGGGGATTTTTTAAACCACTGTAATTAAGAACTGTGACTATAAACCTTGGAAGGATAGGTATAGATATCCATATCCATATGTATATGTATTTATTAATTTGGGGGCATGTTTTGATGTTGTCCTAGGAAGTGGAATCAAATTCTCCTGCAGCACTGGCAGGTCTTAGACCTCACAGTGATTATATCATTGGAGCAGATACAGTCATGAATGAGGTAATCAGTGTTCATTAATAATTATTCAACATTTTCTCATTGATGGGTTTCTTCTTTCTTTTCTTTTCTTTTCTTTTCTTTTCTTTTCTTTTCTTTTCTTTCTTCTTCCTTCCTTCCTTTCTTCCTTTCTTCCTTTTTTCCTTTCTTTCTACAAGGTCTCACTACATAGTTCAGGCTGGCTTTGAGCTCACTATGTAGCCCAGGTTGGCCTCAGATTTGCAGTAATCCTCCTACTTCAGCCTCCTGAGTGCTGGAGTTACAGGCATGCACCACCACACCTGGCTTCCTCGTTGATGTTTGAATTCAGGAGGATATTTGCATACTTTACATTAAGGGTTAAAATCTTGTAGTTTGCTCATCAGGCTAGCTTAGACTTTGTGTTAAATGGATCTTCTGGGACATGTTTTATTGGGTGTAGCTATGATTAAAAATGCATACTGTGCGGCAGTTTTACACGTTTTGTGTGTGGTATGCAGAAGTCTCTTAGACATATCAAGACTAAGTCAAATCCTCTTTTTGGTCATTGATTTCTTTCTTTTTTTTGCTTCTTAAGGTAACAGAATTATCTTAACTGCTAGATCCTTTTCCTTTTCTGTTAGCTAGTGGAAGTATACGGTATTGAATCAAAACTGAGAAAAACAAGGTGTCCAGATTTTAATAATGGAAAATAAAGCAGCCAGCGATATAGTTCAGTGGCACAACACCTGCCTAGCAAGCACAAGGTCCTGAGTTTGATTCCTGGTACAAAAAAAAAAAAGAAAAAGCGAAGCTTAGGGTGGGAGAGTTTTAGTGAAAATGTCAGTTAGATCTCATAGAACAGAGCGAAGGGCCTTGCACCTAGTGGCTTTGTTTGGATTGTGTATTTAAACCTCATGTGCAGTGTTAGTTTGGGAAGAGTCCAAGGGCCTGGAAGCTGTATTTCTTAAAGATATTACCCAGATGATACTGATAGTGGCCAGGTTTGCAACCCACCATTCTAAAGTACCATAACTTAAAATCACTTCTCCTGTGATACTTCCACAGTCTGAAGATTTGTTCAGCCTTATCGAAACCCATGAAGCAAAGCCACTCAAGCTTTATGTGTACAACACAGACACCGATAACTGTCGAGAAGTGATTATTACACCAAATTCTGCATGGGGTGGAGAAGGCAGGTATGCTGGTTATTTTAGACTAAGTTATGACTGCTTCAACTTATATTCAGATGTGAACATTGATTGCTTTTATCATGAAATATTATTTATTATAATATTCTTTCAATAAAGAAGAGGTAGGCCGGGGATATAACTCAGTGGCATAGCGCCTGCCTGGCAAGTGTGAGGTTGTGAATTTGATTCCCAGTACAAAAAAAAACCAAGAAGAGTTGACCTAGCATATTGAAATCAGTAATTGGGGGGGCAGTACTGGGTGTGGAACCCAAGCACTTTGTACCACTGAACCACACCCCCAGCACTTTTTATTGAACTTAGGGTCTCACTAAGTTGTCCAGGCTGACAGCAAAACTAAGGATCTACCTGCCTCAGCCTCCAGAGTAGCTAAAATTACAGCTATGTGCTTCCATACTTAGGTTGAAACCTGATCATGGAGAGCCTTAAATACCATGGTCAGGTATGTGGACATACTTTGAGAGGGTATATTGTATTTGGAATTTATCAGTAGGCATTCTTTGGTCACAAACAGTAGAAACCAGCTGCACTATTTTCAGTGGACAAAAACTTACTGATATGGATTAGCTCATATAGTTAAGGAGACAGCTAAAGAACCAGATGTGGAAGGAGCAAGATGGTAGAAAGCTCTAGGAATTTAGATAAAAAGAGCTAATTGACAATACTGTTACCAATCTGCAGAAGGGATGAAGCCATTTTTGTGGTTTTCCATTCCTTTTTAAGATTTGCAGCCCTGGACAAGAAAAGTTGATAGGCCTGGCTTTGGTCATGAGCTGCTCCCTTGGGCAGGGCAGTCATCTCAATTGACAGTCCCACCAGCAATGCACACCGTGACAGAGAAGTAATTCCCCAAAGGGAAGAAGGAAAAGGGAATGTGAGGAAGCAGTGTGACCACATCGTTTAAGAAAAATGCCTCTGGTAGCAGTAGGAGGATGAATTAGAAGAAATCTAGATTAAATACGCATGACTGCTTTGTGTTGCATTCTGAAATAAAACTACGGGATGTGCAAATGATAGCATCATGAAAAAGTGCTTAGAGCTCTCAGTGTATCACCCATTCCACAAATGATTAAGTGTCGATCCGGTACCAGGAATTGTTAAGGCAATAAATGAACAAGGTCTCTGCCCCTACTGGCCTTAGCATTTTATTGAAGGAAATGGACAGTAAACAAATAAATATCCAGTGTATTAGGTAGTGATAAATGCTTACAGAGAAATGAAAGGGTACAGATAGTGTCCATGGTAGAGGGAAGCATGCTGTATTAAATAAGGCAGACAGTGGAGACTTCTAATAAGGTGGCATTATTTTAAAAAATGGATATATATGTGTTTATTTCAAAAACTCAAATCAAGCTGTGATTGATAATAATACCTTCAAGAAAAAAAAATTTTTTTTAAATGATCTTATAGCCTAGGATGTGGCATTGGATATGGTTATTTGCATCGAATACCTACACGCCCTTTTGAAGAAGGAAAGAAAATTTCTCTTCCAGGACAAATGACCGGTACACCTATCACTCCTCTTAAAGATGGGTTTACAGAGGTAAGATTACTGCCTGGTGGTTTCCACAAGACAAGCCCGATGTATTAATGTGCGTGGTGGTAGCACCGAGGTAGGGCAGGGGGGACGAGTTGAATATTGGCCCTCATGTTGAATTTGAGTTTTCTGGAAGATATCCAGGTAGAGTTTAGAAACGGAAATAGATTTTAGGAAAGAGCACAGGGGAAGTGACACAGACTTAGAAATCCCGAACAGAGAGGCCAGTTTAACCCTGTAAATGTTGAGAAGAGTTGCCAAGGCCTTGGGCCTATGTGGGTTTGAGGACCAAGTTTAGATTCTTGAAAACCTGGATAGGCAGTGAAAGGGGACTAAGTAAAGCTGTTCAGGTCAGAAGATGACACCTGAAGAAAAGGGTCGGGTGCTGCAGGGAAGCCAGGTGACAGGAGTGCAAAGATGGCCTGGCAAGAGCCATTCCAGAGAGCTGATGGGCAGCCACCACCAAGTCATGGGTGACGTAGTGCACAGAGAGCGAAAGGGGAGGGTGGCAGTGCTTAGTGCTCTGAGAAGCTTCTTGGAGAGGCGAGGAGAGCCCAGGGTTGTGTGGGCCTCCGGGCTGTTTATATGTTCCTCCGGCAGCATCCCGGGAGAGTTACTCTTGTCTGTACCACTGAGTAAAACAAGAAGAAACTACTAAAAACCCAAAAGGAAGATGTAAGGTGGGCCTGCTCCACTGTCATGTCACAGCATGCAGTTTGGCCCGCCCCAACCCTGAGGCGTGGGAGCTCGCGAGGAGCCTCACCGCTCTCACTTCCCATCCTCACTGCGTTCAGCGTCAGCGCTGGCACAGCTGCTGCTCCGACTCTGCCTGGCTGGCCTCCCCTATGCAACGCGCCCTCCCCCAGCGCGCCTCTGGGGGTCACTGAGAAGACTGGAGGTAGCACACAGCTAGGGAAAGGTGCAACGCAGGAGCTGTTGGAACACAGCCCAGCGCACAAAGCTGGCAGCAGTTGGAGTGTTCAGAAGTGACAGCACCATCCATAGAGTCCACAGAGATTCCACTGCCCTGAACAGTTATTCATGGATGAGAAAAGAGCTAATGAATCAAGGAGCTTAGAAAACCTGAGAATCTTTTTCCTCCCCTCTCCTCTCCTCCCTTCCCCTCCCCTCCCGTCTTCTCCTCTCCTGCAGAAGGACTTACTGTGTAGTACAGGCTGGCCTTGAGTTCACTTTGTAGCCCAGGCTGACCTCAAACTCACAGTGATTCTCCTGCCTCTGCCTTCCAAGCGCTAGGATGATAGGTGTGCGCCACCATGCCCTGCAGAAATCCTGAGAATCTTTAAGAAATATATTAAGACTTGCAGTTGATTTCTTCCATAAAAATAAAAGGTGTTTTTTTGTTTTGTTTAAACAATTGACTGAGAGTTCGGAGGGGGAAGCAGTGGTATTTAAGGGTGAAATAAAATAAGACAGTAGAGTCACTCCTGCTGCGGCAGTAGATAGGTCAGCGTATATAACGGGCTGGAAGCTGTGTCTAAAGCAGGAAAGTGATGGGCTGGAGGGATGTTTCCGGTGCATGGCACCCGCTGTGCACCAGTGGCAGCAGGCAGAGCCTGGAGGTAGAGGGCCAGGGGAACCCTGCACAGCCAGTGTGTGACCCAAGTGTATATGTGAAGGATGGGGGAGAGCCGTGATTTGTGTACTCTTAAGTAACTTTGTTTTCCCCCCTTTTTGAAGGTCCAGCTGTCCTCAGTCAATCCCCCATCTCTGTCACCACCAGGAACTGCAGGAGTTGAACAGAGTCTGTCTGGACTTTCTATTAGCTCAACTCCACCAGTTGTCAGCAGTGTTCTCAGTACGGGTATGGAGGAATACTTACTCTGTTTTCAAGCTCGTTTGTCTTACGTGACCTTGCATAGCATCTTACCAAGTAACGTCTGTGTGCCTTGAAAGCTGTAAATATGCTGTGTTGACGCATGTGTCCTGCCTGTGAAACCTAGTACTAAATCACCATGCTCATCCACACCAGGTCAGCATTTAAACCTGTTCTCTGTATGATTTAGACCTGGGCTTCTCTCAGACTATATGTACAGTGTAGAGTTAGGCTTTTGCCTCTCAGTTCTCTTAACAGCTCTCTTTGCCAGTGTCCTGGCTGGTGGGCACAGGGGTTGAAGAGGATAAGCAGGATACCGTTCCTTTCTGCTCAGCCTTACTCACGGGACATATTCCTAGTTCTCCCCTTTATTTTTTGTTCTTCCTGATGTAGACCCTTTTTTGTTCGTTTTCATTCTTTTTCTTTTTTAGTTTTTTTGAGACGGGGTCTCACTGTGCAGTTCAGATTGGCCATGAACTCACTCTGTAGCCCAGGCTGGTCTCTAACTTGCAGCAGTCCTCCTGCCTCAGCCTCCTGAGTGCTGCAATTACAGACATGCACCACCACACCCAGCTGTTTTCATGCTTTTTTAACATAGCTTTATGGAGATAGAATTGCTATCATACAGTTCACCCATTTAAAGTATGCAGGTTTTTAGGGTATTTGCAGAGTTGTACAATCAATACCTCAATCAACTTTAGAAGATTTCATTGTACTCAAAGAAACTTTCTACCCAACTTCAATCACTGCTTGCTTTTGTGCAGTGTTCCAGGGCCAGGCAGCTGATCAGCTCTCTGTCTTTGTGTGGACTTGCCCAGTCTGGACATTTGTGAATACGTGTGGTCTTTTGACCTGGTGTTCTTCACTCAGCAGATTTTCAAGGCTCGCTGATGTAGCGTATGTTACTACTTCATTTTTATTGCTAACAGTGTTCCATCATAGGGCTGTACCATGTTTTCTTTATCTGTGCTTTAGTTGGGAGATATTTAAGATGTGTTTCTACTTTTTGGTGTTTATGAATAATGCTGCTGTGAACATTTCTGTATAAGTTTTTACACTGACATGTTTTTATTATATGCCTGGGAGTGGAATTATTAAGTCTTGATACACAATTCTTAACTTAGTATGTTGGTGAATTATATTCTTCCTTTTTTCTAATCTTCTGTTTCCTGGTTTTCATTCTTCATAATCCCAAGAACATATCAATAAATGTTGAGTGAGTAAATGAAATACTGACATGTTTTAGTTTAGTTGAGTTCATATATAATGAAGTACATATATGTGTGTGTGTGTGTGTGTGTGTGTGTGTGTGTATATATATATATTTTTTTTTTTTTTTTTGAGACAGTCTCACAATGTATTTCAGTTCAGGCTGGCCTTGAACTCATAGGGATCCTCCTGCCTCAGCCTCCCACATCTGGCAATTTGAGCTGTTTTAAATATTTGTGCTCAGAATTTGCTTATACTCTATTTTGTTCTGGAATGGACTTCAAATAATCCACCAAGAAGCAGTAGTAAAATGAGCAGTATAGTATCTTAAAGTTGGTTCCCTAACTTTAAGTCCCAGCTCCTTTCAGGATCTTATTTTTTTCCCAGAAATACATTTTTTTCTAGATAAAATTTAAAATTTCAGACAGCAATGGTGAAGTAGATAATGAACCCCCATGACCCAGCCTCATCAGTCTTTAGAACAGTGACGTAACCACCCAACCCTTCCTCTGCTGATTTCTTGCCCGACTTTATTGAGATGTACTATATTTTGTATGCCCTGAAATTAACTCACTGCAAGTGTACAACTCTGTGATTTTTAGTGACTTTTAATAAATTTATAGAGCTGTGTCATTCCTACAATCTAATTTTAAAACACCTCCTAGATGGAATCAAATATTGATGTCATCGGTCAGGCACTGTTGGAAGGGAGCTTAGAGTTTATTTCGTTCAAACAGTGCCTGAGTCCTTTTTATGATGTTAAAGTGTTTTTATTACATCCCATCAAGTAGCCTTCTATTTTATTCCTGAACAGACCTGGAAAAGGTGGGCTGGGTTCTTTCCAAGGCAGCGGGCCCTCCTGTAGCGGAATAATTCTTACCTATTTTAGAGTGTTGTAGGTGCCTTGTGATAACAGCTCTTTTGATGGTAGGACAGAGCTAACGTCTCTGGCTTCTGTGTGACGTTTTTAATCTTCCTTCATTACACTGTAGTTACATTGGTATCCTCTTACCCACAATGCATTGAGGACCCTGGTGTTTACACTGCCAAGGAATGACCTCTTGAATATTAAAGACCAAAATGTAAACAAAGTAGTAGTTGCTCACAGGAGACTAAAAGAAATTGACATCTTCACTTTTGAGTAAATCAGTCTTAAAGACTAAAATGTTCTAGCGTCATGATGTGAGAAACAACATTTTGTTAGGCATTTATTTTTCCATCTTCACTGTTCAGTACAGTATGTTGCTTGCAAAGGAGCCCAAGTAATACCTGTGGTGATACGATGGTGTTTGTTTTTTAAACTTTGTAGATTTGAAAGTTTTTGATGATGAAATTTTTAGAAAATTAAGATGTATTTGGAAATAGCATTAATATTGTGACCTTTTTGGTACCCTCTCCCTCTTCCTGTCCACCTTCTTAGCTTGATTTTTCTTTAGAGGATTTGTTTTACATGCTATAGATTTTACTTATTTGATACTCTGTCTTCTGTCCTTTTCCTGCTCCTCATTAGAATGTAAATTGCATAAAGGTTGTGCTTTCTGTTCCTTCATGCTGTAAAGAGTCTAGTACAATGTCTAATTATTATAAGTATCCCGCAAAACTTGGAATGAATACATACATCAACCAACCATCCTACTTTGTTGAAAATGTGGTAAAAGCACAGAACTCTCTTGTCAAAAAATATTGAGTATCAGCTAGGTGTGGTGGAACACAGGTGTAATCCCAGCACTCTGAGAGGGTGAAGTAGAGGATCGAAAGTTCTAGCCCAGCCTAGGCAGTTTAGCAATTTGTTGAGAATCTGTCTTAAAAGAAAAAATAACAAAAGGACTAAGGATGTAACTTAGTGCAGAGACCCTGGGTTCAATCCCAAGGACAACCAGGAAAAAAGAAAAGTTATATATAGTTTTAGGATCTGTGCATTTGTTCTCATATTTGAAATTATGCATTCTGGGGTCCATGGAGCCCTTGCCGGTGCTTTAGCTAGGCTTTTTTTTTTTTTGGCACACCTCTAGTTTCTACAGGAAAGTAAATAAATAAAAAATGGTATGCACAATTCTTTCTTTAGGCACAATTTTTTTCTGCTACCATATTTAAGCAGGTCTCTGAGAGGTCTATAAGGGTACAGTAAGGTTTGAGCACCCTTACCTGAAATGCTTGGGAAGTGTTTATTTGGCCCTGTACACCTGGAGTTGCTGGGGACCATGTGTTCCTGCTTTTAAGAAAATAGCATAATGAGATATCCTGGGGATGGAATCTGAGTCTAAACGTAAAACACATTTGTGTTTCATATACACGTGTACACATAGCCTGAAGGGAATTTTACACAGTAATTTTAGTGCATCTGTGTTTGGACTTCCATCTATCACATTAGGTCAGGTGTGGAGTTTTCCACTTATTTTCAGCCTTAGAAGCATCTCAGATTTTGGGGTTTTCAGATTAAGGGTGCTTGTCTTGTATTACTGTTGGTTTTTTTTCGGTTTTGTTTGTTTATTGTACCAGGAATCTTACCTTGTGGCTTGCCAGGCAGGCATTGTATTACTGTTGTTTTGACATCACAAAACCTCCCAGTTGAGTAAGCAGTAAACTTGGATAGATAGCTCTTTTATCAAGTGGCATCCTGAGGGTCACTGGTGCATGGAGAATAACGTAACCTCCTCTCAGCACCATCATACAGATGGGGATGTGTTAGACTGCACAGGACTATCGTAGAACCCAAGGCCAAAGGAAACAGTTATCCAGGTCATTGCCTCTTTCACAGCCCAGCATTCACTGATTCACCGAGTAGAGGGTTCCCCAGCCACCCTGAGCTTACAAGGCCCCTTAATTCAGGAGCCCGGGAGAGTGGCTAGAATCTTTGTGTCCCACTTCCAAATTTTTAAGATAGTTTCCTCATCTGGCCTGTGCAAACCTCTTGTCAAGTAAATTTAGCTTGGAGGAATGAAGTTGCACAGTCTCCCTCCCTTTTTTGTTGTTTTGGTTTGTTAGACAGGGTCTCACTGTATAGTTCAGGCTGGCCTAGTCCCACCCTTTTAACCAGGCTGTGGTTAAGGTCTTTGCTGTGGGCAGAGAAGCTGGATCACTCTGAAGACTGGTGCAGATTCGGAAATGCACCCAGAAGTGGGAAGCAAAGCAGATGGGGCCGTGGAGGGCAGGGCTGAGGAGTGTCCTGTTACAGTCTGTTCTTGGATGCTGAACATGCTAGAAAAATTTTTTAAATGTTATGCTTTTATTTTAGGTGTACCAACAGTGCCGTTGTTGCCGCCTCAAGTAAACCAGTCCCTCGCCCCTGTGCCACCAGTGAACCCAGCTACTACATTACCAAGTAAGCAGCAGAGCACACAGATGTGTGTCGTGATAATGTTTGCATCTGGAATCGCCTCATAAGACACCTGAGTAGTGACTGTGTAGGCCTCAGTCATCAGTGAAGCAGGGATGTTAACTAGCAGCTAGTTAGCTGCAGTCTGCGGTTCCTGTCCCAGCTGCGGTGCGGCACGACCCCCGGCCCCACTCCCACCAGGCTGCCTACCCAGGAAGGAGGCGTGTGCAGAAGTCCGTTCTCAAGCCTCCCTGGTTGGAGCTTTGTGATTGCTGCTCACTGAGTCTCCTGGAAGAGAGGGTTCCTTACTTGGGTCTTCAGTAGCCGTGCCTTGTTTACTTTTCCCCTTGCTGAGACAAAATATGCCCAGCGTTAAGGGAGCAGAGGGTTATTTAGTTCACAGTTTGTGGAGGTTTCAGTCCGTCATCGCTGGCTTCAGGGCAGGGTGGCTTTGCAGAGGAGAACAGTTCATGGCTGGCAGAAGACAGTAAAATCAACCACGGGACCTTACCAGCATCTTTCTGCCCCTCTTACACTCTGTCTACGGTTTAGGGTGGTGCCAGTCCAATTGGCTAACTAATCACACACCGCACACTCTAGATTCAGACACCTCTGAAAGAGCGCTATGACCTTATGAGGCTTTGGAGGGACACCTAGACACAGATCATAATAAGCCATGACATTACAGTTTTGTGTATTTCTCTTAATTGTTCCCAGTGAAAACTAAGTCCCTTTATATACTTGACAGCAGTCAAACATTATTTCAGTGATTAAGCATATTTTCACATTGAGGGCCTAAATGTGTGGCTAAAGATGTCATCGCTTGGGGATGTGGAGCGGGGAGCCAAGCGTGCACACATGTGGGCAGTGGTGCCTGTGGGGAACTGGGGTATAGGGAATGTGGGGATTCCCGTCACTACTCTTACAGCTGTTAAGTCTGAAGTTATCTCAGAATAAAAAAGAAAGCTGGAGAAGCTGCAAGCCTCAACCATCAAAGAAAAGTCCAGTTCAACTTAACTATTGTAACTGCTGGAATAAATCAGCCTTTTCTCCCAGGCAGTTAGGCCACCATCATTCTTGCTGCAGAGCTGTAAGAGTATTTGCTGCTATTTTAATCTTTATTTAGCTGTTTAATCACTTAGGTATAGAAGCATATTTCAGTCGGATGAGATTTCGTGGTAATGCTCTCCATCATACGAAACTGCCACACAGAAAGTGACGTTGCTCTGGTGTTACACGTGGCAGTAGCGAGCGTGCCTTTCAGTGCACAGGCCTTTCTCCCCCAGGGGAAGTGACTGCTCTTTTGTTCTTTTCTGCCCTCGGCCCAGGTCTGATGCCTTTGCCTGCAGGACTGCCTGACCTTCCCAGCCTCCCCAACCTCAACCTCCCCACGCCGCACCTCATGCCAGGCCTTGGCTTACCCGAGCTCGGGAGCACAGGTACGGTGCCATCTTCCCTGGGAAGAGCATCCTGTAGTTCAGTTTTTATCAGGACAGGGCAAGTCGATGGAGCACATTGCAGCCACTTCCCGTAAACGTTAATCTTTTTTATTTAAAAAGCTTAAAAATAAAAGAGGAGGAAAGAACATCTGTGTGACTCTCCTCCGCCTCCTCCCACTGTTCCCCTCTCCCTGCTCCCTCACAGCTGAAGCGCCAGAAGGGCCAGTTGTGGGAACAGAGTAAACTGGCACAGTGAAGCGGGGTACAGTTCGCCTAGTGGGGCGTGTGGGTCCCCGCGTTCTCTTGGTGGTCCGGGTAGCTGGCAGCAGGGCAGTAGTGGTGCCCACGTTGCTCAGCCTAGGCTGGGCACTAGGACCGGAAACTCGGGCTGTGAAACGGTCATCCTGGGCCAGCCAGCTGAGCTTGTTACTTGAAATATTCCCATCATGCATGAGCAAGCGTTTTCATAAATAAAACACGGAGGGGAGATGGCAGATGGGCAGAGCGTGTTCCCTTAGATTTTGTGCAGGGATGAAGAGGAAGCAGCATCACCTCCCAGATCTGCTCTTAGAGCTCCTGACTACTCTGAAATGGCCTGTGGGTGATGCCCTGGCGAGACCGACTGCACCCAGTGCTGGTTGTCGCTGTCGCACTCCTGCCTGGATTGTCCCTTTATCCGTCGTGTAACACCATCTGTAGGTGTCCGCTGACTCAGTTTTCAGCACCGAGGAAGTCAGTCCTAGGAAACTCGGACCACTAGCGTCTACCGCTAGCACTCTGCCTGCTTTGGCTTTTGTGCTGTGTGTGCTTGGTCTTCCTCTGCCCTTTCCCTGAATTCAGCAGGCTCTAAGAGCAGTAAGGGTTTCTCTAGGCGGCGGTTGCCTGAACGTTTGTTTACAACCAGCTTTCTTTGTTGACATACTGTTACCCTTTCTGCAGGGTGAAATGATGAGACGAGCCCCACGTGCATACAGGGTGCATATAGTATATACACATAGTATAGTTCACATTTAGCATGCGTAGTCACGTATACGCAGTCATGGATCCCAGGGCCACCCCCAGCGTGGGGTCCCTGCGGCCAGACCTCTCCCACGCCCTCCTTCTGCAGCCCCCTGGTCCCAGCCAGGGCGGCTGGAGGTCAGCTTGCAGCTCGTCTGGGGAAGTGGGAGCCTCTTGCCCACACCCAGTGGGGCCACATCGCCTGCCAGGTGAGCCTGCTGTCCGTCTAGCCTGGAAGGCCCTGTCCTCCCCTGAGCCTCCCCTCAGTGCCGAGCCCAGGTGATGCCCCGGAACCCTTGCCCTAGCCAGCCGCTATCACAAGGGATAAATACTTAGCTGTCATGGTCTCCGGCTGGAGGTGAGCAAAGGTTATGGTTTGTGTCCTGTCCTTAGCTTCAGTGTCCTTCACGAGATGCAGATAGCGGCTGTGTCGCATAGTGACTGCTCTGTTAGTGCTGGGAGGATGTGTGAGCTGTGCCATTTCTGTCCTAGGTTTGCCACCTCTTCCTGCCTTGCCTCCTCGAAATTTACCTGGCATCGCACCTCTCCCCATGCCAGCCGAGTTCCTCTCATCATTCCCCTTGGTTCCAGAGGGCCCTTCCGCAGCCAGCTCAGGAGAGCTGCTGTCCTCCCTCCCGCCCGCCGGCAGCCCCCCTTCCAACCCCATCACGACTACTGCAAAGGCAGACGAGGCCGCTGCGCTCGCTGTGGATGTGACGCCCCCTGCTGCCAAGGCCCCCAGCACTGTGGAGGACAGAGCCGGGAACTCCACCCCAGCCAGCGAGAGGCCCGCATCTGCTGTCTCGGATGCAAACGCATCTGATTCACCTTAACTTTGAACCGTTCTTCAGAACCAGAGTGGTGTATTTATTTAACCACGGAAGCTGTCTGGAAATGTAAACTATCATTAATTTCATACTAGTTTGTACTGTATCTGTAGGCATCGTGTAAATAATTCTAAGGGGAAAACTAAGCAAGAAGATGTGAGCTTGTATCCTGCCAAGTTGGGGCAGGGTCCGTCGCAGGGCAGGAATGTTCAGAAAGTGCTTGTACTTTAAACAACCAAAAAGAATTGTGAGGGTGGCCTGCCACCAGGCATCCCCTGCCACCCTGGGGTGTGCGTCCTTGGGAAAGGAGGTGCCGGGGTATCCACTAGGTTCCTTGCCCCCTGCTGCTCCTTCTGTACGCAACGGAATATTTTACGCCTACTGCTCACATGCAGCATTTCTTTACTCTGTAAATCGTTCACAAGAGTGCAGACCACTTCACTAAACTGTAAAAGGAAACGATGCTTTACTTTTGGTCTCTGTGAGTCACATCTCTATTAAGGTTTACACAAAAATTCCAGTTGAAGCTGTTTTAAAGGTACACGGTGTGCACTATTAATTGAACATCTTTTTATTCAGCCTATACACAGATCCTTGTTTCAGCTCTCAGAATCACTCAGACAACATTTTGTAACTGCTGCTGTTGCTTTATACGTCCACCATCCTGATGGCATTTAAAGAAAAATAAAGGAGATGTTCCATAGTTTTAAAGCAGAAGGTGGCACTTGTAGCTACTTACAATACAGGTGGACTGGGAAGGCAGAGATACAGCAATAAATAACAGCAATTTTAGTTTTCTTCTTGTGTTACATTTAAATTACAGCCCGGTTGCCATGTGTACACTTGTTCCCCATTTACCCACATCTTCAAAGTAATTAAGTTTGGTTGTTCTGAGATGGTAAGTTACCAAAAACTGATCTATTGAAATGTGTTAAATGCACAATATATCCCTTTTTGAAATAAGATGGAAGTAGTTAGCAGGTCGTTGACCCGGTACTGGTAGACACCAACTCCCTGTAGCGGGCGGAGGCCATCACCGAGGTGACAGCACGTGTCCTTCATCTCTCTCTGCTCAGCTGGAAGCTGGTGACAGCGCCAGCCGGCACCTCTGGCAGGAGCCCAGCACTGGCCGGTTTTTAGGCGCCATCCATCCATCCCTGGAACCAACTCTGTACTTGGAGTTGAATGATGAAAAAGACCTCAGCTCTCTATAATCACGTCTTCTGTTTGCATGATAAATATTTTTAGAATATTTGTTCTAGTTGGCCGTCATACTTTTGCAAAGGAGCTTAGAACAGTAGAGAAAATATTCACAAGCATATATTTTTTTCACAAGCAATTTTAAATGGTGGTACTTTTTTACTTTCCAGGACAGGGAACACTGGGAAAGTTCATACTTTCCAGAAGATATTCACAGAAAACAGCAAGTGTTGAGGTCCCTTAGTAGAAAGCGAGTGAGTGCTTTGCAAGTTTCACAAAATGGTTTAATGGCAATGGCTGCAGCGCCGTGGTTTTGAACTCTCCAAGTCACAGTTTTCCTTTGAGCAAGTTGGCGCCCTGCACCGTCTCGTGAGGAGAGACGGCAGGGGCAGCGTGGGGGGCGGGCGAGGGCTCCGCACCCAGCGGAGGGGCTGCACAGACCCGGCCTAGACCTGCTCCCGGATCTCCCTGCAGTGGGAAGCATTCGCGTGCTCTCCACTTTCCTCAGGAAATCCTTTGGTCTTTTTTCTTTTTTGGTGGTGGGAATGGGACCCAGACCTTGTAGTGCTGGGCACACGCATTACCATGAGGCCGCACCCCTGCCCCTTAGTTTCAGACTTCATATAAAAAACCTTTTTCCCCAGTATTGGGGATGCTAGGCAAGTGCTCTACCACTAAGCCAGCCCTGGTTTCAGACTGTAGACAGTAGAACCTGTGCTGGGTTCCAGAAACGTACAGGGCAGTGACCCTGACCGCGGCCGCTCCCTGTGCAGGACAGGCGAGGAGCAGTGCCCGGGCTCCCCAGGGTAAGAGCTCCGGTCAGAGACGCTGCTCCGCACAGCCACCGAGGGGAGAGCCCTGCTCAGAGGGACCGTGGGAACCCGGGCCAGACATGCAGAGGACGGTAAATTGGATTAAGTTCAGGTGGATTCGATTCTCAAATCCCGATAGTGGTTTGAACAAGAAAGCCTGCTCCTCGTGTTCAGATAGGGCAGTCCTCTGAGGGTGATGTGGCCCAACAGTGTCAGACCCTGGCTTGGCTTCGTCTTGTTCCGCCGACACTGAGGGTGCATTCAGATGGCGGCTGGACCCCAGGCCTTTTGTCCTCCAGCCAGGAGACCAGGGAGCCCACCTTCCTTTAGGGCGCTTGGGAGATTGGAGCCCGTGACCATGTCTAGCTGAAAGGCTGGGAAACGTGGCCTCTGGCTCTGGGCCATCCTTGGTGTCGTCACTGCAGAGGAGATGGGACAGGCCGGGAGGGACAATGAGAAGCCACTCGGCCCCATCATCTGCCCACGATCGGAGTGAACAGAAAAGGCACTGAAGGCGAGGGCGCTGAGGGGAGGGCAGGCGGCCACGGGGTCGTGCGCCATGGACTTGTTGAGGCAGAGAGGTTAGAAGTCAGGCGCTTGGGTGTCAGGCTGGACCCTGTGGCCTGGCGCTTGCTTCCCAGGGGAGCCCTGAAGGACGACTCCAGGGGAAGTGAGCAGTGAGCTTCAGGAGAGACTGGAAACAGCCCTGCTGTCACCCAAGGCCACAGCGTAGCCGAGATCCTGAATCTGTGATGATAACTTCTTTTCCCTGTTCGTTTCTTCTGTTCTCTCTTAACTCATCACTGAATTGCTTACCTAGAACAGCTGCACTTAGCGCATTCCCTGAGAACGCTGAAGACCTAGAAGGGGCTCCCTGCGCCGTTCCTTCATGAGGCTCCAGCAGAAGCCCTACTGGTCACGCGTGCAGCAGAGCTGGGAAGCCCAGGACGTGCGGGCCCGCCTTGAAGGGACTTGGGAGTGGGGGAAATTAGGCAGCTTCGAGGGCCTTTGTGCATGGAGGCGCGCGCGGGGACAGTGGCTGCTCTGAAGGCTTTGCCGGGCCTGCGCTCAGCAGGTGGAGAAGGGGCTAAAAATTCAAGGGTGTGTCCTGTTGTGACCTCAGTCTGTTGGCTATGGGATACATTTATTTTATTAGATACGTTTATTTTATTAGAAAATAAAATGCATCTTATTTCAATGGTTTGTTAAAAACTTTCTTAGAGAGGGTCCCTCTTCTTTACAAGTTTGGTTCTGACACGGGGTCTGGCTATGTAGCCTAGGCTGGATTCAAACTCGGAACACACCCCCCGCCCCGCCCGCGCCGTGTCAGCCTTCCAGATGCTGGGTGTTACAATTAATAGCTGGATGTCTCCCGAGAGCCTGATGCACTTACAGGTGGGGCTGTTGGGAGGTGATTGAATCACTGCCGGTCAGTGGATTGGTGCCCCGGTGAGGTTGCTGTAGCTAAGCGTGATTTGGGAGGTGGGTCACCAGGGGCACGGCCTGGGCTTATTTCCTCCTCCCTTCATCTCCCTCTGCTTGCCCCACTGTGCCCTGAGCAAGTCTGCTCCGACAGCCCCTTGTCGCGCCGGCCTGCCTTAGAGCCAGCCCACTGCGGACTGAAACCTCTACAAACTGTGAGCCACACTAGATCATTCCTCCTTAGAGCGGTAGGTATGGGGTATTGTGCCCAGGACTAGAAAGTAACTAAGGCCCTAGGATTGCAAGCTTTAGGGAAGGCCAGGGCTCCCCGTAAGCCCTGAAGGCTTTCCCCTTGAGTTAGGTCTCAGGCCTGTCAACTACAATACAGTTCCTGGCTCTTAGCATGTTTAAAAACATCCCCAAGGAAGGAGGGGCGAGACAGCGCAAGCCCTGACGTTTCTCCCCCCCGTGTAATAACTGAGTCAGCTCTGTAACTGGGGTGCTGTGTGGGGGTGGATAAAGAAAGGTCATTGTCTACCAAGTTACCACTGAGGAGCGATCCTTTTAGCACTGTTTTTTTTTGAAACAGGACCTTGCTGTGTAGCCCAGACTGACCTCAGATTCATGGGGATCCTGCTCAGCCTCCTGAGTGCTGAGGCTATAGTTGTGCGGCACCACACCCGGCTTATCACTCACATTTCTTGTGTGAGATTTAGGAAGAACAATTTCCGGCATGACTAATCAGTGTTTTTAAAAAGTCCTGTTGAAGAATGGGGAATGCACACCATAGCTAATTATTCAAACTCGAGAGCAGTAGGTTGGTGGAAGGGCAGGGGGACTCACTGGGTTTTGGGTGCTGGCATCTGTTAGAGATGGTTTGTAGCGTTTTTTTCTTGTCTTGAACAAAGAATTGGACAAACAAGTGCAAATAGTAGAGATTGGTGTTCTGTTTATTAAACATAGGAAGAGATTCGTGTTCTGTTCGGGCCAAGTACGAGTAGGAAAAGAAGGGCACCCTACTCCACAGGAGAGGGCTGCCGTGAAAGAGCACAGTAGTGGAGAGCTCAACACAGGCTCCCTGTTGGATTTTCCCCTCCTCATAGGCTTCAGATCTAGGCCAGCCTATGCCAAACCTGCTCAGATTCTCGCAAAAGTCCACTTACAGGGCTTTGGGGGGTGTTCTGCACATGTGCCCTGGGATTCTGTAGTTAACAGATCAGGCCTACTTCCCAGCCAGCCCACCACACCCTAATCTCCTGCCTCACCACCACCACCACCACCCCCCCAGGCTGGGAGGGAGCGGGAAGTGCTCACAAGGATGCCACAGAGGGTCAGGAATGGTTTCCACCTGTTAGGTGCAACTGAGAGGTGAGAGGTGAAGAAACCACTGCCTCCCCAGGGAGTGACATGAACACAGCTACTACAGTTCAAAGCAAGCAGAGGAAACCCCACATGCTACTGGCTTAGGAGAGTTGAGATGACACCAAGTCTCCTGGCAGCAGACAGATACAAGCCCTGCGTTACAAAGGCCCCTGTGGCTCGGGTCGATAACTGGTGACATTCATCGTGTTCACTGCTCACAGAGTAACGAGAGTGGGGACACAGCCACACCAGCTCTGGGCAGTGCCCTTCTGGGGCAGTCTGCCAGCTACTGAGGTAGCTGAGTGCCCCTCCACGAGGCATGATTCCTTTGAACTGCCCTGAATAAATTAAAATTTAAATAGCAAGTATTGAAAAATCAGAAGTTTTCGCATAAATCCAGATTTCTGGTTTCTCTTGAAATGTCACAGATCTGGCACAAGATCCGTCCCATATGGAAATGAGCACCCTTTGAGTCTGTGCCCTCCGGCCAGCCAGTCCTTCAGCCACTAGGCTCTGCTTCCAACTGTCTGACCCTCACAGGCGTCTGAGTCACCCCATGTTTCCCTGGTCCTCCCCTGTGTTCCCCTGGTACCTGGAGTTGCGGCAGGGAAAGGGGAGGGAGCCGGGAGATGGGTGCTTCCTTACAGTTCAGGATCCAAAGTCCACGGGGGTCCAGGGTATCAGAAAATAAGGTCCTTTGTGCCTACATGGTTAACAAAAGTGAAAGCCGGGCGTGGTGGTGCACACCTGTAATCCGAGCACTCGGGAGGCTGAGGCAGGAGGATCCTTGTGAGTTCCAAGCCAGCCTGGGCTGCAAAGTAAGCTCAAGGCCAGCCTGAACTGTATAGCAAGACCCTGTCTCAAAAAGACAAAAAAGAAAAAAAAAAAAGTGAAGCAGTTGCTTTGATTATAAATCTGAAAAGAAAAATTGCCCCTAGACAATGACTGGTGCAGTGACAGAAATTTTGAGTTTTGCCAGCCTCTTTTCCTGAGGCCATATT